CTCACACACACACACACACACACACACACACACACACACACACACACACACTCACTCACACACACACACACAGTGGGAGGTTAAGAGCTATCTTCCAGGCCTTATTTTAATTGGACGCTACAGGGGTTTTCCATTTTAATCTAATTAGGAAACAGTAGTAGTAGTAATATAAGTAGTAGGAACCTGACATGAATGAAACGACCGAATAGAAAAAATATTTTGTGTTTAGAGCAATAATCGTTTCTCACATAATTATCTCCGTGGCAGGCTGTGCTACTAGAGAACAACTGAATTCAGCTTCTCAAACGTGCAGAATTGGTTCTTTCCCTTAAAGGGGACCTATCATGCAAAATGCACTTTTGTACGTCTTTTATACATGAATATGTGTCCCCGGTGTGTCAGGGAACTCACCAAGTGTCAGAAAACACAACCCTCTCTCTTTTCCTCCATACCCAAATCTCTAAAAACGGGGCTGCAACGGAGCTGATACAGATTTGAATTTTTCTGACGTCAGAAAAGGGGTGCTCCGCCTATATAGGCAACTCTCCACCTATCAGGGGAATGGGGGGTAGGGCCACGGCCATTGCCGCTCGAAAGTGCTGGAGACACTGTAGTACATTTGCCAGGCCTGTAAGTGGTGCTGTAGTCTGCCACAAAAGCAGCGAAGAAGACTTCTCACAGAATCAGCCCCTGCAAAAACAGGGCTGGAAAAGAGCAAATAGAGCGAAATGAGGCATGGCTAAAATGTATGATCTGTTTAGTATTTTGAAAAAAAAACTTCACAGACATGTTTTATATAGGTATGGCCCTACAATATATTATTCAAATATAGCATGATAGGTCCACTTTAACCTTTATTTAACCAGATAAAAGCATTGAGATAAAATCTCATTTTAAATGCTAACCTGGCCAAGAAGGCAGCAACGTTACACATAACACATAACACAAACATATAAAACACAGAGAACATAACTAAGAAAACAAAAGACGAAAAAGCAGCCTATACATGGCAAGGGGTCCAAGCCTCTTTGAAAACAGTAATTACCCCAAGGGAAACTTAACCACTCCATGGAAAATGACTTCCACTTTACTGTTAGCAGGGTTGTACTTGAAAAAAGTCAGAAAGCCGTGCCTAATGGACACACATGGGGTAAGATAATAAGTGTTGTCAGATTGTCATCCCCCAATCCCCAAAACAAAGAACATGGATTAAAAACTTTCTAAAAAAATACATTTCATGCCAGATTGAGCTATTATCCATCTGCAGCTGGTTTCCATCTGAAATGATTGGCAGGTACACACAGAACAATAAAAGCTTTACACATTTACACGCAACACATGCAACAGCCAAATGTATTCATTACATCCTGCAAGCACCTTGTTCAAGGAAAACTGACCCTTTATTCCCTGTTTTTTAATTAAGGATATTGATTTAGGATTACTAAGACTACACTCTTTATTATGTCTATTACAACTGGTTTTCTATTTTCAAGTTAAAGGGTTCTCCTAGTCATTTTAGTTTTGAAATAAGGAAGACAACCAGTGAATGGTTGATTTATTAATTTTAATGGGAGACAAAGTTGGACCACTTTCATCAGCCCAAATGTATTGTATGCACCTGAAGTAAAATAAGCAAAGCAAATCGTCCCTATTCTCAAAGCAAACCCTACTACACTGACATTTCCTCTGACAGAGATCCGCTGCCCCAAGCTGAGCATGCCGGCTAACGGCGGGTACAAGTGTTCAGACGGATCCTACTTCAACTCTCGCTGCGAGTTCATCTGCTCCCCTGGATTCAGTCTGAAGGGCTACAAGACGGCAACCTGCCAGTACAACAAAGTGTGGAGCGCTGACGTCCCCACCTGTGTTGGTAAGACTGTGTGTTGTTCTTTTGTGCATGGATTAATCTCCCACTGAGGACTGGAGGCTGCAGACTACTGAGCTGCAAAAACACATGTTACAGGGGATTACCTGCTGTAGGCATAATGTCAGCTGCAGACTACAGAGTATTCCTCATAATACAAGGTTATATGATTGATGTTTGGAAAAATACAAGCCTCTAGACATGTACACAGACACACAGGGGTTTGTCTCTCGTCACCAGAAATGCTAAATGTTTTTCACATCTTGCAGCCCTTAAAGCTTTGTGAAGTGACATTGAGTCTCCTAGTAATTATTGACTTTACTTTGTTTTTGTTTTGAACATGTACTAGGCTACATCACTTCTTTAAATAGTGGAAATTGGTGGTGCCTCTAATCACCTAAGGAAATCTCAGGAGTTTTTGTTGGAAGATTGTGCCACAGGAGGGACGTTAGTCTCTTTCAGAACCAACAATACATGAATGGATTAAACAGTGCTTTTATCTGCTCTAATGTTAGCTGCAAGATTTCAGATTACAGGGATAGAGTCCACATTTAAGCATTAGTTTACATTCAAATGTTGACTTTGTTTACATTTTACATACGTTTTCCTTCTCTCTCTCTCTGTAGATATGGATTCTCCAAAAATTAAGTGTCCTACTGTGAAGGATAAGTGGGCAGAGCCAGGAAAACTGACAGCGAGGGTGAGCTGGGACACACCCGAGGGTGTAGACACTGCAGACGGCATCCTCACAGAGTCAGTCTCCTCTCCACCTCTCTTTTAAGCTGTTTCTCCCTTGTCTGTTAATATGCCACTCTTAACACTGAGATCACAGTGAAAGATTAAAAGAGAGCCTTTATTTTTCAGCGTTATCCTGAAAGGGAAAGTTCCAAAATCAGACTTCCCGGAGGGGCTCCATAAGATGTCCTACACTGTGTTTGACCGTGCAGGGAACAAAGGATCCTGTCGCTTCACCGTCAGAGTGCGAGGTGAATTAATAAAAGGGTTCTGGTAATGAGTGTCAAGCAGCATTTTTAAGGTTAATACTAAGAAGTAAGACCTTGAATAATGTCAAAATAGAGACTGTTGTAACAAATGAGATGCTGTTGTAACCTACAGGCAATAGTGCAATATACATGGAGAATATACAGAAGGCCAATCTTCCTCTGTCTTTTTTTATTTGTTTGAATGTGACCTCGCTGCCTGGAATCTAATGGGGCTCTTTTTCTGTTCAGTGCGCCGCTGCAGCCCGCTGTTTGCCCCGGACAACGGTTATATGAAGTGTGACAGTGACGGAGACAACTACGGGGCCACTTGTGAGTTCAAATGCACCGGAGGCTACGATCTGCAGGGCAGCGTGGCCAGAGTGTGTCAGTACAGCTTCACCTGGTCCGGCTTGGACACCACCTGTACAGGTACGTACTGTGTGGAGATAAATGCATACATACTTACATTAACAATCTTTAATTTATCCATTGTTGTTTAGTTGTTTTTTATGCTTAGAAATTTACAAAAAATACCTAAGAATGCAGCTGCAGAAATAAAATAAAACAAAAAAGAAGACAAATCATTTAAATTTATTAAAAGTATATATAATAACATACAGAGATACTAGATTTGTAATTTTAAAAAGTATTATCTCTTAACATTGGCAATTATTTTTCACTTGGCTTTACAGACTTACATTAAAGTGGACCTATCATGCTATATTTGAATAGTATAGTGTAGGACCATACCTATATAAGGCATATTTATACTTTTTATTTTTCTAAATACCAAACAGATCATGCATTTTAGCCATTCCTCATTTCGCTCAATTTAACACTGTCTTTGCATGGGCTGATTCTGTGAGAACAGCACCATCTGCAGGCCTGGCATATGTACTACAGCGTCTCCAGCGCTTTCCAACGGCAATGTCCTTGGCTGTCTCCTCCTGATTGGTGGAGTTGGCCCAATAGCCGTAGCGCCACTTCTGTGACGTCACAGAAGTGTTCAAATCTGTATTAGTCTGTATCAGATCCGTTGCAGCCCCTTTTTAAGAGATTTGGGTATGGAGGAAAATAGAGAGGGTTGTGTTTTCTGACACTTGGTGAGTTCCCTGGAACACCAGGGACACATATTCATGTATAAAATACGTACAAAAGTGCATTTTGCATGATAGGTCACCTTTAAGTCATTATTTTTCATTAGTGGGTACCATTTCCCAAATGTTATTGTTTGTAGTTTAAGTCCTACACTTACTTAACCTGCTCTCTCTATGCCCTTGTGGAAGCTGCATCCTTGCCGTATTGATGTCTACAATCTTCAAGGATACTCCTAGCACTACAGCCTTGGGATTCATTCTTTAAGATATCTCCATAACATCATCATAGGATTATAAACTTTCGACATAACCAAAAAATATGCGAGAAGTTTGCAGGATGTTCTCCACACAGGCTCCTTTGGAAGACTACTCAAGTATTTGCATCATCAAGGAAATGGATATTTTCTATATATTATTCATCCAGTTCTGTGATAAAGGCCAAATCTGTTCATATAAATGAAAAGTTCTACCATTGGAAAATTGAATGTGCCGATACTTTTTTATTATTTGGTTATCTCAGGACTGGTATACAGCCACAGAACATAGGCTCTGGTTGGGTTTTGTTTTGGTCCATTCTGGCAATATTTTCCACATCTCATTCTCAAATCTCTGGCTCATTTATTTTTAATTTGTGCTTTCGAGTGGCAATAAACACCACAGTCCTGTGTAAAGTTGGCCTACCTGTGCTAAACTGGTAATATGGGAGAAGCTCAGTGGAGGAGAAAATTGGGCCCCCTGTGCCCTCTATCGATTAGAAAAATCAATACTAGACACCACTCTATTGAATGTCTGTATCTATGAGACATGAACTAGTAGCAGTTTGGAGAGACTGCTGCAGCAAACCATCAGTAATGTATACTTAATGTTACAGGTTAAGTTCACAGTTGAATGCACTTCCATTGTGCCTTTGCTCAACAGACCTAAAGAATCCAATTACGCCTTACCTCAGTGTGATATTGAGTTGTATTTAATCTCGTATGATTGCACTGTGTGTCATATCTCAACATATCACTTAATTGTACATTCAATGTCATCACAGCCATGAACATAAACGTGGGAGTGCGCACAGCTGCTGCACTGCTGGATCAGTTCTATGAGAAACGACGGCTCCTCATTATCTCGGCGCCGACGGCTGCCAATCACAATTACCGCTTCCAGATGACTAACTTACAGGTGAGGCACGACTGGGAACATGAGCTGTATGAGGGGGGGCAGGATCGTAGAGAAGATTTGATGTAAGGTCCTGCTGCAGTGATTCGTGTCTCCACCGCTGCTCACACACAGGACCGCAGTGTGACTGTGTTTCTCCCTCGCTTTGCTGCCCAAGTAGGACAAAGCAGTGAGGCAAACAAATAAGGCAATAGGGTGACAGGGTTTGTTGTCCACAAAATGTCAACACGATGAATAAATCGTACAACAGCTTTGAAAAGGTTTATTCTGGTGATGGATGTTTCAACGGATCGCCAAATGCCGTTAAGTTGGAGCTGTCTTTAAACACCTGACCTTTCAAAGCTTTCACTTCTCATCTGAGACAACACGTTAAAAGTTTGTGAGCAACCTCAGAGATCAGGTTGTGAGTTGTTTGTGTGTTTCATAGCATCATTTGTTTGCCAAAATGTGTTCATGGAGTGAGGATTTTCTGCCGTTATCTATTTAATTTCATAGTAGGCCTACTGTAATATTGTTTGATTTTGGAGTGTGGCTGGGCCAAACCGGACCTTTTCTCAGACGTCACCTCAAACTTTTGGAACTCGAAATGTTAAATCGTGTTATTAGTTAGATTACCTGTAACTGTTACATGTACTGCTTTAACCTGATTATAAAATCCAGAATGTTTGAATTGGCAAATATTTCTTTAAAAAAAGTTTAACTGCTGTGCTGGACAAAATATGCCTCCAACTTTACTAAGATCTCCATTCAGAGGATTTAAGTTTCCACATCACAGTTATGTAGGCTGCAGAGTAAGCCATTATTGATTTACAAATCATATTCGAATGTCAACATCTTGAACTCAGTTTTAAGGTGAGTTGAGAGAAACTTTCTCCCCCTAGGCAAATAAATGTGTGAGCATCCTTAGTTTTAAACTCTGCATACACATCATTCTGCACAGTGAAAGTGAAAAAGTAAAACTCACTTTTGACTGCAGGTTGTCTTTAATTGATCATGCAAGTAATCGATTGTTACAGCCCTGGTGTTCTCTATGCCCACTTTGGTTCAAATTTGTTTTATATCCTCCATGAAATGAACTGTGCTCAGGTTTTTTGTCTGCATAGAAATCAATAACAGAGCTTCGAAACGCCAAACGTATATTGATCTGTTTCTTTTTCCTGTCCTCAGCATGCTCAGTGTGGACTGGACCTGAGGCACGTCACAGTGATTGAGCTGGTTGGGACTTACCCTGCTCAGATTGGCCGAATTCGACACAGACTGCTCACTCCAGCATTGTCCCTGCAGATCAGGTACACACACACACACACACACACACACACACACACACACACACACACACACACACACACACACACACACACACACACACACACACACACACACACACAACACACACACACACACACAACCACACACACACAACCACACACACAACCACACACACACACACAACCACACACACATTCATAACATTCATCTGAGTGCTGGGAGCCAAGGACCAGTCATGAATGTCCTCGTCCTTGTCTCTTAGTATTCAGATGTTTTTTTAAATAGTACAACACTTTGAAAGTAATACACTACAAGTTAAAGTCCAGCATTCATAACCTTAAGTAAAATTGTGTAAATATTTCCAGAAACATATACTTAAAGTAGGTAAAGTTACAAATTCTGCTGTAAAATATACCCTGTAATTTTTTTCCTATTTGTTTTTGGATTAATACTACTGCTGCTGTAATGTAATTTTACTGCTTTAAATGTTTATGGTTGTGCTAATTTGAACTCCCTTATATACTGTTGGCTAGTTAAATCTACAACGAAAAACATACTTAGTGATTTGTGGTTGTCACTAGTAAAGTATAACACTTGAGCGAACATACTGAGTTTATTTTACTTTGCTGCTCACTGAAATTATGTGCGTTTCCTAGGTTACAGCTCCAGATTCCTCAAAGGTCTTTCCAAATGGTTCTGGTCGACAAGCAGGGTATGGATAAGCAGCGCTACCCGTTCCCGATCACGTCGGCTGAATTATTCACCACCATCGACACCTTCCCCCTCCGCAAGGATGAGATGGTGCTACAGCAGGAAGCGGGCCAGAACTGTCAATCATAAAACACATCAACGGACCGTCAGCCATATTTGATCCTTCCCCTCCTCTGTAACAGCAGTCCCACACTCCTACCTGAACTCATTCAGGCCTGTTTGCAGAAGGTGTGTGTGTGTGTGTGATCTGTTCTGAAGCATTATTGAGGTTTACTTAATGGAAGGGGTCATACAGTACATTACAATCATATTGATTCCTGTGTCTTGTCTATCTGTATGTTTTATTATTATTATTTTTTAATATTTTCAAAAGCCATATGTTTTACTATTTTGTACAAAAAAAGTATTTTTACTGTATAAACTGGGAAACTCTTCACCTGTCTAATATTTATGTCTCACATATTTTTTAATAACGATGTACACTCTTTGGAATACTGTGTGTTTTATGTACAGGACAGTGATGGTGCTGTTAGTATGCTGTACGTCTACGTCTGAATCTACAAGACACAGATTAAATATGTCTATCAGCGAGGATGTTGTCTTCTGTGTGACAGTGTGTGAGTGCGAGACAGGCATAATCGTCTGAGGATTCAAGAGAGAAATGAAAGAAAATAAATTTAAAGCAAGTACGTTTTGTCTTAAATAAAACAAATGTCTTCAGAAAACTAAATAAATATTATTTCCACCTTATGTTAGTTCAAACATCTTGAAAGCATTGCCAGTCAAGTTTAATTGTTTAACAGATCAACACTTTAGGAAGTACTCTAGTTTGCTGTGTTGCCAAGAGTTCAGATGAATTTATTCATCCGTTCATTCAGATCAATAAAGCTGTAAGGCTCAAATATAAATTAAGCCTGTAGTTAGCTTAGCATAAAGGCTAGCCTGGCAATGTTCAAAGGTCACTAAAATCAGCTGCGCGAGGCTGATTTTCGTTTGAGGCGTTGGCCATTTTTTTCTTGGCTACAATAAAAAGTGATTCAGCATATTCCCTATAGGCCTAAGTATAATTTTCACCTTTTTAATTTAACCTAATCAAACATAAAAATAGTTTTATATTTAGTATATTCTCAAACAAAAAAGGCAAACAGTACATCTATGGAAAGATGCGTTTATTTCAAAATATTGAACATATTTGGGACAAAATAGGTATGAATACAGTGAGTTTGTTGCTTGGAAACCGGACACAACAGAGATAGTAGCCTACATGCTGTACATTGAGTTTTTTCAGTAGTCAGGTATTGCACAAGCCTCATCTATAGTATGTTGTACAGTGAACACCATATTATTACTATAATTGTGCAGTGTCCTACTGTTGTGCTCCAGGAGTTCAGAGCAAATGGTTGGCCAAGGACAAGCGCGACAAATTTGGCATTCCACATGAGAGATGGTTGCACAAAGTTTAACTTGAGAATCGTTTTTGTGTATTTGGTGATTCATCACAGGAGGGTGGAAGGCAGAGCCCCGAGCAACAGGACAAGGTGACTGACTCATTATGAGGTTCCCCCTGAGAAGAAGACAGCCGCCTCAGCGCTGACTCACTCTGCAACAGGCAGCCTCTGTCTCAGGGATACTGCTCTTAAAATCACATTTTCTCTAAAATGATGCGATTATCAGTGCTTTACATTCTCTTATTTTGTTCTTCTACCTGTTTTATCTAAGACCATGCAGTTTCCATTATCACACTGATGCAGTGTTACAAATGTACATCAATATTAATCTAAATTGTGGAATTTGTCTAGATATTTCCTCTTCTGACAACCAGAGGTGTAAAGTAACTAACTACAGGTACTCAACATTGTTGTTGGCAACATTTTTGCTTTGAATTCAGTCATCAATCAACAAGACTAGGAGTCTACAGGCATGCCAGCAGCTCAGTAAAGCTTTCCATAAAGGAAGCTTTGAGCTAATGCTAACATCAGGATGCTAACATTCTAACAGAAACTATGCTACCATGCTGATGTTTCGTAGTCGTAATGTTCACCGTCAGGTTCACCAAAGTCTTTAATGTACACAGACTGGAAAACATGAATGTCTGTACAAAACGTTGTGCCAATTCTATTTTAGTAGATGTTGAGATATTTCCCTTGATAAATATAAAATATGGATGAAAGTGTTGGACCAATCAAATGTCAGACCGTGCCACAGCGCTGCTATCCATAGAGTATCTAGCGTGGCTACAGATGCTTGATCACAGGAGGGTGGAAGGCAGAGCCCCAGAGACGTCGCATAGCTCAGTTGTTTCATTTCGTTGTAAATTGAGACGACTTGTATTTTAGACTGTTGGTCATACAACGCAAGCTTTTGAAGTTTGAAGTCGCCCACAGCTACAGCAACTTTAAAAACTATTTTCAACAAATATTTTTTATAAATGATTGTTCAAGTAACACAGTCACTTTCAGTCCTAGTTTATTTTAAAATTAGTATATATATATCTTTACCTCAAGTATAATAATACTAGAGGGATACTCCGTGTTGCTTAATTTTCATAAAACGATTGAGAGAGAAAGCTTATAAATAAAAGATGGATGGAAAACTACTTCAATGTAGGAGAGATGTATAAGTTATCTTACTTGCTACTTTTGTACTTCCCTCAGTAATAATAATAATACAGTTGAACATGAAATAGTCACTTTTCACCTCTGTACACAACTGTTTATAAGCAGATTCATAATGTGCTTCAGACCAGGATGACTCTGTGGCGTAAAAAAAGGAATGTCTAAGTCTCTACATTATTGATCTGTGCCTCACAAAATGGTTCCCGTCAGCTGTAACTGCATGCAGAAATGACTCAGGTTCATGAATCACAGAGGACGGACACATCCGGAATCACACATGTGCTTATTCGGCTAGGTACAGTAAGTTACATACAACACATGTTTTTTTTTCTTCATATACAGCAGTGCTTGGTCAATACTAGATGCTTTTGAGGGCAGGGGGCTTCATGTGGATGAGTGTGTAAGGCATGACTGGCTGAACAGGGCATCTTGGGAGGAAGGAAGTAGGAAGAGGGATGATCTCTGTTGCTCTCAGTCCTGGGCTTTTACTCTGGACCGTTCCACTTCTCCAGATCTCTCCTCCCACCGAAGTTCACATCACCTCTTCCTCCCTCATTCATTCTCTTTTCTCCTCGTCTGTGCTTAGATCCGGCTCATGTGTTGCAACTTCGCATGCTGGATCGAAGCATCAGAGTACACTCATGAGGGACTTCTGGCTTTTCAATCATGCGTTGCCACAGCCGCTGTTCCTCCCCGTATGAGTCCATCCAGTCAACATCGTTCCCGTAGCTTTTACCTTGAGCAGAAAAGGGACAAGGACATAAACATAAACATTGGAACTAATAAAGAGCCCGGAGGACATTGACAATCTCTCAACACTGGTTTTGTATAATAGATGAAGTTAACTTTATAACAAATGAAAGAAGCTTCTGCCCTGCAACCATAAGGGACTTACAAGACATAAATAAAGAATAGGTGTTGTTTTTTGAATAAACGTTTCCAGGTTTTGATCATCCGTACGTCAGAATATTAAACAGGGTTCCTGTTGAGCCATTTAATACAAAATAGACACTCAATATGATCAATATGTGTGTACAATTCAAAAGAAAATGGGCCTCACTTTCCACTTCAACCAAATCACAACCCTACAATCTGTTTTTTTTCCCACTGATATATTGAATATCTGCCAACTTCAAAAGCCAGAGCAAGAATACCAGCTCTAAACTGAACAAAATTTTTTTTTTTTCTTGCAGATAAAAAGCATCAGCCATTGGCAAAATGTGCAACGTTTCAGGGGTGTTAACCACCTTATTTGAAATCCTGTGCAATATAGTGACCTTAAAATGTCTCCAACACGTACTTTTCTTTTCCAGAACTTTTTACACACCTGTACCAGCTCCGAGCCTGAGCCCTCCCAGGAAGACGTTGCTGGCCAGCGCCTCTTTGTCCCAGACGGTGAGCTCCAGGCAGACGTTGTTGAGGTCTCCGGGTTGCAGGCCGCAGTAGGTGAAGGTGTGGTTCCACTGCGGGTTCACAGAGCGCCGCTCCACCACCGTCTTGTGCTTGGTTGACTTCTTGCTGTCCGGGAGGAGGTATCTGGAGAGAAAAAGATGTCAGTTCTCAAATCACATCTTAAGTAAAACAGAGGCTAGCATAGCAACCCTGATGTTCCCTCTACCAGAGTCAGAAGGTGTAAGGTCTTGTTTCTTGTTATCATGGATGGTTTCCTGAATAAGGCTACTGGGTACAGGCCCAGAAACGGCTGGGCTGCTTACAATAGAACATCAATCAAATGACTACAAAGAGACAAAAGAGAAAAACTATAACAAAGTGAAGGTAAATCGTACTAAGAACCACAAAATGGCTACAAGTAGATTACATTACATTACATGTTATTTAACAGACACTTTTACCCAAAGCAACTAGATACAGCTGAGCAACACAACCACACTGTAACACATAACAACCACAAAGAAAACCAGAACAGCCACAGAGATTGGCAAATCAAACCAAAAGAGAAGCTGTGAAGCCACAAACAAACTGCAGCAGAAACTAAAACATAAAGAGAAGCAAAATGACCACTAAGACACAATAAAAAACAAATGAACCCCGCTTCTTTCAAACCGTTTCGCAGCCTGGCCCCCATTCAAAAGTTTCCAACCCGCCCCTGAATGCAGCGTCTCACCCTTTCACAAAAGGATCTGAAGTTCCTCCAGACTTGACTGCAGTCAGGTTTTTGGCTCCTTTGACCAGCAGCTCGACCATGCCCCCTTTAGGCAAAGTGAAGCTGCTCGCCTTCTTGCTTTTCAGGAAGCCTTTCTTTACTGAGGGAGGAGGGAAGAAAGAGAATACTTCAATTTCAAAGGCTTTGGTTTGTTTACATAAAGAAAATATTTGCTCCACAAACATGCACCTTCTTGGTACAGATGCTAAGCACATACACCCAGGACATGTTCTTGTGATTATAAGCATTTATGTTTTGTCCTTTAAAAAAGAACAACCTACTGTATATTTAACCACAGCTAAATGAATTAAATACACAGACAGCATCAGTGCAATTCGGGACTTTTTCTTTCATCGCTGCCGCATCCCAGCAGCAATTAAAAATGTAACTGAGTTGAAAAGTTATTTTTCACTCTGTTAACAAGCAGCCTTTCAGTGGCAAGTCACTCATTATTACAAACTCCCGCTGTGCAGGCAATTCTTGGTCAAACTAAAGCCAGATTAACTTCACTTTAATTTCTAGTAGAGGTCAGAAAGTTTCCCAACAAAGTTTTCTAAAAAACAAGATTAAAAGATCTGGCCATCTTTCGAGGTACTTATTCAATACATTTTTCACACAATAGGAGATACAGTTACAGCATGATAAATAAGGTGATATATAATGGTCATCACAGTGATGAATGTACCTTGTACTTGGTCCAGGGGCAGCGTGAGGTTCTTCTCTGCAGGAATGTACTTCAACACGACGGTCAGCTCTCCTTTATACTGCATGGTGCAGTCTATATTGCTCTCCACCTACACAATCATCACTCACAATTACAAAGAAGAAGGAGGAGAAGACAACTACGAGATGCTTGGCAATGTGCTGGTTGTGGTTTCTA